GGTGAACGGGGACGAGGGAAGGGCAAATGGCAAATGGCATGTGCCATATGCCAGAAGTGGCAGATCTGCGCGCACCCTCCTTTGAAGCAGCCTTGAATTATCTTTCCCAGCTTGTCTTAGAGTTCGTGTGGTTGTGGCTTCGAGGCACAAGGGCTCCTTTTTTTTTTTTCTTCCTTACCGCAAGCCGCGTTTTCGAAGACTGGTAGCAGCGAGGAAAAACAAATTAAAGGAAAGCCGGGTGTCAGGTCCATTTTTCTCTGCAGGTTCTGGTTCGACGGCTTTCGGGATTTTTTTTTTTTTCTTCTCAGTTTTCCTCCATCAATCTGTTGCTTTTCTCCGCTGTCAGTCGGAACTGAGCTAATATGAATTCCGAGAATGATGGGTTGCGTGATATGGGGAGGGAGACGCGTTTTTCATTATTCACATGTACTGCGTTTTCTCTTCAAGTTCTGACTCTGGTTTGGCAATTTCAAGGGGCGTTTTGTCGTCATAGTAACGGGGAAGGGGGTGGGGGGAACAAATCTTGATTGGAAAGTTGTATGGGGTCACGCGAAGTTGTTGGGAGGCATCGATTGCCACATTTCTTTATTATCTGAATTGTCGTAATCCCATCCCCAAATGGAGAGAAATGGGAGAGAGGTAAGGAAAGAGGGGGGTGGAATGAAATCCGTGGGATTTCCGGGCCAATAATAAAAGGGGAGATTGGGAGGTGAATTGGAAAGGATGTCTGGATGTGCGGTGGGGCATGGGGAGGTTTGGGAGGGGGGGGATCGGATTCGTGCCCTCTCATCGCGGGGTGAGGGCCTGTCCTCCGTTGTCACGTTTGGTCTATGAATAGCGGCGCCTGTCGAGGACGGGGGATTCGCTTCATCACTCCCCCCGTCGGTTTTTTTGTTGCCTTCTTTGAGTTGAGGCGCCGTGCGTGCTTGTGATTTACGGGTATGGGCTTGACGTTGACGTGGTTTGGTAGAGGTTAATGCAATGGCTGGATGTTGGATCTTCAAAGTTCGAAATTTACGAACTTCCATGGAGAAGCTTGGTGAGGGCTCCTAACCCTCACTTGGACTGTCACCCATCAGCTCCTACCCACCAGATTCCCTCCCGTCCTAACGTCGACCCGTTCTATCTGCTATATGCAGGTCATCTTTGCTATTATTCGCTAATCGCATTGGAGCTTTGTATCCTTTTTTTTTTCTTTTTCCATCGCCCCGGTGGAAGAAAGCGGGGGGTGAGAAACCTAACCTATCGGAAAAGATTGAGCGAAGAAAGCCAGGTAACTGCGCTCAATGGAGAGAACAAAGGTCAAGGTGTTCAGATAAGAAGAAAGGCCATTGTCCTGCTTGGGTCATGGGCATTTTCCAGAGAAGGAAGGAAGCTGGGAAAGTTTGATCGATAGGGCTTCGATCTCCACTTTGATAAGATTCATGAAGGCACGAGGACTTCAACGTCTTTCTTCTTCATGTTTTTTTTTTCTGCCAAGTTACCGGCTTCTGTAATCTCGTGAAAGTAGTTTTTTCCGCTCTTCCCGGAGGGAGAGAGGGAAATAGGGCTTAACCTAATGTGTCCCATCATTTGAATACGTAATGAAAGGGGCGAAAGAGGGAGCCTTTTTGTATTTTTTGCATCCCATTTGGCCACAACCCTTTGCCAAACGAGAGGTCTTTCTCATCGGAAACCCCAAGAGGGGAAAAAAAAAATAACTTGAATGCGATGGCAAAGTGGGAGGTAGTGAGGTGGAGGGTGGGGGGTAGTGGGATGGCGGAGGGTAGTGGGATGGCGGAGGGTAGTGGGATGGCGGAGGGTAGTGAGAGGGTGGAGGGTAGTGGGCTGGTGGAGGGAGGGCAGTGGGAGGCCAGGGGAGGAAGCGAGACACATCCATCCCAAATCCCAACATCCGTTCTCTCGCGGTCGATGACCCAATCGCTCATTCCCCGTCACACGTTTGCATATTGAAAAAGTGCGATGCCAAATAGTATCGGCACGAACTTCGCAAAAATAAATTCAGCCTGTATCGTGCCTGTATTCCCCTCCGCTGAGAAATTCGCTGTAATCAAAGGTTGTTTTTCGTCGGGTATGGCAGAGAGAGGGAGGAACCCACTTAATAACACGGTATGCTCGACCCGAGGAGGGGGAATCACACACTAAATTGGGAGTTTCCGTGACCGGATCGGGTTCAGACGGGGGAAGATCACGAATGAATCCGATCGTGATGGAAGAAGCACAGATAACCATGTCGTATTACGCCGCTGGTTTCGAGTCTCGGCTCGATTCATCGGTATGTATGAGAGGCCCAGCTCCCACGGTAGTCATAAAAATTTTAATCAGGGCGTCAGGGTGCGGAATCATGCCGATATTGACCTTGTGCGACCTCGTACTGAATTGAATTTTTTTTATTATCGTCTCTTCTGTTCCTTTCCCAGCCCACGTCGGTTTTTTTCGGCGTCTCTCTTTAGCGAGGTCTCATGCTGCCTTGTCTGATCAAAGGAAGAAGAAAGCATTTTGTTCTCTCAGGCGCCGATGCATCATTGTATCATGTTGCCCCCCCCCCCCCCCCCCCCCCCCCCCCCCACTAAACGTGTGACGGGGAATGAGCGATTGGGTCATCGACCGCGAGAGAACGGATGTTGGGATTTGGGATGGATGTGTCTCGCTTCCTCCCCTGGCCTCCCACTGCCCTCCCTCCACCAGCCCACTACCCCCCACCTTACATGAGCGACTGCTGCATCGCGGCCAAGAAAGTGCAGTGCCAGGGGGAAATGGGTTTCCCGTACGATTGTCCTTTCAGTCAAGGTGAAGTCCATGGGGTTATTGATGGGTGGAGGTCGTAAAGCGTTGCCAAATTCTCCCTTTACCGTTTCCGGGCCGCGCCTTCCCTGCCCTTTTCCCTGCCAAATTGATATCCCTCCTGGGACGAAGGAGAAGAATGGCTGGATGGATGGCTTGAGGATGAGAATAGGATGAGAATGGGATGAGAAGGGGATGAGGAGCGGGTTCTGTGGCTCGTTGTCGAACGAGATGGATGGACTCGGGCGTCGATGTGTTTGGGTTTAGGCGTAGTTTACTGCGGTTACGCAAGAGGTAACGGTACTTAACCAGGGGACCTCATTGGAGATTTCTTTTTGTGTCAGGGATCGATCTCTTCTGTATGGTGATGACGTCGATGGGAATCCGCGGAGGAATCTTTCCGATTTGATGGCTTTGTTTGCTTAACCATGCGTTAATATGGGTTTAAGGGGCTGGTTTTTTTTTCGCATGTCACGATTCCTGGGAATGCGGGCGATGGGCGTCATCCGTGTCGTTATCGTTATCTTTGTCCTTGCGGGGTTAAATGGTCGGAGACACTTTTAATGGTGTCGATGCGGGCATTTATCTGGGTATGGTTTCCCCGGATCGATAAGGAATGAAGTGGAAAGCAGGGTTTTCCCGATGCCATGCCGGAGACCCCTGTCGTAATGTCTCCCAGGAGCCCGGGTCCTGACTGAGAGGCGCTCGAGAGCTGTTGATGTGGCTCTCATGGCTCTCGGGTGATTGAAGAGGTGTCTCAAGGGTGAAAAAAAAAGCAGAGTCCGTGGTCCATTTGGAACTTTTTCCTTGAGTTTTGGAAAGAAGCCTTTGAAAGAGAATTTTTTTTTTCTTTTTATTTTCCATTTCAGTTCACGCCGAGGAACTTCTGGTCCTCGAGAGCCACATCTCGGCGAGTCATTAAGACATTTGCCACCTAATTGCGTTTGTGAGGATGATAATATTCAAAGACCTCGAGGGTTCTTCTGCCTGACGCGGACTCCTACGAAATTGCTTTTCGAATTGCATTACATGCATGTACAGGGTGGTGCAAAAGTAACTTGCCCTGAACGCTTGTGAAGCACTCTAATTCAGTCACTTTGTATCTTTTTTAACAGTGATTCTATAATGGCGCATCGTTTGACAAAAGACCAACGAGTGTTTGTTTTGGAGCAATGTTGGAGAACGTAGCGAACATATGCTGTTGCTTTCAACATCTGTTTCCCAGGTGTTCGTGGCACAAGTTACTTTTGCACCACCCTGTATATTCATACCATGTGGAAACCCTAGTTACACTGTAACGGAGTACTACTATTATCTAGACAGTTGCAAGGTGGCAATGTTGCGAGAAATTTTCACACCCGTTTTTAATTTCGCGATTTTTGCGAAGCACAAAGAATCACGAATTTGAATAAGCGAATTTTTTTCTGTGTGGGTGAATTGACGTCCAGATCCAGATCGCGATTTTTTATTATTATAAAAGCCAGATTTTATCATAAGAAATGAAATCGGCGCGAACATTTTTTGCTACCGTGTAATTCAGTATACAAACTTGTTTTTCTAGGTGGAGAACTATTCCCTTGAAAAGTTTACATCCTATACAATATGTATTCATTGTTTCAGGCAGATCTATTGGTACATTTATAACTCACCAGGAGCGAACTGTAATGTATACCATTACAGTAATGTATACCATTCTCAGGAAGCATTTTCCTTGAGAGGCTCTAACGTGCTTGCTGCATATTCTCAAAGTGTGCGGAAATTAGGAGTGACCCTGTCGGAAATATAGTCTTGTCCGGAGATGGAAGCGGAGTGCATAGGTCAATAAGTTAAGTTTTCGTTGAGCTGATAGTAATGTGATTGATTCCGAGCAAGAGCACGGAACTTCCTCGAGGAGATCATGGGCAATGCACGGTAGACACTTACAAGATATGAATATATGAGAAGTGAGATGGGGGAGCATTAGCCAGAGCGAGCGCTGAAACTGCCATTCATTCAAATGAGTCACCTCAGGGGAAAGATGCAGAAGACTGTCTCTGCAAAATTAAGACAGGATGGCACATGCCTACAAAATAGTTTTATGAGGCCGAAAATTTAGATTTTGTCAGGGAATTATTTGAGGCATGATACCCAAAGGCTCTGGACATTGTCCTTATATTCATTTTAATTTCTCTTCTTTTTTATTTTCCTCTTGAAACATGACTGGAGCCATTAACTAGATGGTTGTGTTTCTCTCCATTTCATATTATTGCTATGTATTATGCTCTGCACAAAATGATGATGATTTATTCATATTTCATCAAAGTGACCCTTTAGCATTTCACACAAGTGATTGACATGTATATGTGAAGTGCTGCAGCTACACAGTCTTGCTCTGAAATTACAGCATCTCTGGACAGGATTTACTGGCCTTACTCACTATTAACAGAACTTGCTTAAGATAAGTCCAGGGAACTGTTTCTCAGCAAGATGCATCACCCTGAAGGGGTCTAGTGATGCTATGGATACTAGTGAGGTCTTAGTTTCTTATTTTATTGGAGTTTTTCGGCATGGCTTCATTGATTCAATCATTCCCTCTTTTGCCTCCTCAACTGCAATAGAGTAATCTAATCATCAATTACCTTTTTGCTCACAGGAGAAGAAGCTGCACCGCCGAGAGAGGGAGAGGTTCCGCGAGGAAGCAGAGATGTTGAAGAACCTCCAGCATCCCAACATTGTCCGCTTCTTCGACTACTGGGAAGTCAGCACTCCAAAGAAGTACTTTGTCCTCGTCACCGAGCTCATGACTTCCGGCACCTTGAAGACGTGAGTCGCCCCTCGTACCGTGATTCGGCCGAATGCCAAAGTTTACCTCATCAACAAGATGTAGACCAGGATATTATTTTATTTGCAGAGAAGAGAGAATGATAAATCTGTTTTATGTGACTGTTCTGATTGGGCCTTCCTCCCCTTTATTTTTGCTTCTCTCTTTCCTGCTTTTCTGCCTTTGTTTCCTTGTTCTTTTATATCCTCTTCTTCCTTTATATCCTTGTTGGAGATGATTATTTCTCCATGGTCTGCTTCAAGTGGCTGGGAGCCAAACGTCTCTGAGGGTTGGAGCTCTTGATAGGGTTTCATTGTAGACCTTTTCAAGGTTGCTGGGGACAGATTGTCTGCTCTTGGATTTTTTTGGTGGCTGTTTTCTATTTTCTTTTGTGTCTGCGTTGTAGAAGTACTCTTCCTTTAGCTGTTGGTTCTGTTCTCTTCATTTGGCCCTCTTCTTACTGGAGCAAGATTGGTTTCTGATCTGATTAATGTCTCATGACCAAAAAAGTTCTGGTTTGGCGCATGTGTGTTTCCATCCAATCGTAGTAGGGGTAATAAGGTCAATAATGATCAAGTACATTTTTCTGCACAAGATTGAGAGATTGCCTATTTTAATTGCTTTCCTGTCTTTTGTTTCTGTGGATGGATTGGAAGAGTCTCTTTGACAGTATTTATGCCATTGTGGCAGAGCCACTATGGCAATAGGCCAGCAAAGTGTGACTTTTGTGAGAGGGGAACAAAAACGAAAAACACATGTGGTAGGGCCTACTTTAGATTATTAAGACGGAATCAGCAGGGCCTTTCTTCTTTTTCTCATCTCGTGTGTAAGTTGATTAACATTTGAGCTACCAATTTGATTACATTAATTGAATGTTTGATCTATCGATAGCTTTTATGAGCCCTCAACTATTATCCATGACTAAGTCATCCACAGTCCTGTAAAAAAGTAAATAATAAACATTGTGATTGGAGTCTGATGAAGTGATGACTTGCATGAGACACACGCTCTTGACAGCAAAAAAAAAAACACTTCTTGCAGAGGGGAAGTTCAAAAATGAAGCCAAGACTCTCAGAAGGGAAAAAGAAAGGAGGGCATTATGAAGATATTGAAAAGAAGTTTGGGAATGGATATTTCTTTGGGGTGATGCAGAAGAGTGAAAGGGGATGAGGGATAAAAGATACATATGATAGGAAGAAATGAAATGTGGATAGAGTAAATGGTAGTTTAAATTGCCAATTTATTTACAATTTAATCTACTTAGTTTTTTATGGTGATATTTTCCAATTTCTTGGGGTCTGTCAATTTGCTGAGTACCTTTAATCATTGAACAATATTTTGAGTGAGGAAGCCTTCTGCTCAGGTTGCACCTTCTGCTCGGGTTGCACCTTCTGCTATGAAGCAGAATGCCTGAACTGCACCTGTGCAACCAATCAAGAGCATCCTATTTTTTCTTGTTAGTGAAGGACTGAAGGATGGCAGGTGGTAGACAGTTACATGGATACTTGGCTCACATTGCTCCTCAAGTGATTGATTGGGCATTGGCATTTTGCATCATAACTGCTTCTCATGTGTCCATGCACAGCACCAGTAACAGAAGGATCCTTCTCTTCCTCTCCAAAAGCTATCGCTTCAATTGCTTCAGTAGCCCAAATGCAATCATTTTGCAATAGTGCAGATTTAGTACTCAATAACTGAATATGTTTAGTGCTTCTGTTTATGAGGCGACGTTGAACTTAATTTTCAATATACTGTATATTGGCTTCATTTTGATTCTGCATACCATACCATACTGCTACTGCAAGAACAGACTGATGCTTGATTCATCTTCCTTGCCATTGACTCATGAAATTTTATAAAAACATATAAAATCAGGTGTTTTGGGGAATTTCATTGCTTTTATATGGCCTTGTTATTTTTTCATCTCAATCAATAGTGATTTCATCTTTTTAACATTTCTAGGCTGTAGTCCTCATTCTTTGCTTGTTCAGCCCCAAATCATCCCATCTCATCTTTACCGACCACAGGTATCTGCGTCGTTTCAAGAAGGTGAACATCAAGGTGTTGAAGTCGTGGTGTCGACAGATCCTCAAGGGACTCTACTTCCTCCATTCCCGTTCCCCTCCCATCATCCATCGCGACCTCAAGTGCGACAACGTCTTCATCACCGGCACGACAGGAAGCGTGAAGATCGGAGACCTGGGGCTCGCCACCCTGAAGAATCGCTCATTTGCTTGTTCTGTGATTGGTGAGTGTCAAGGGTATTGCAGACTATCACAAACTGTTTTCTAAAAATGCTTTATTTTAGCATATAATAAACAGCAGCACTGGCCTTCAGTGAGAAAAATAAATGGATATGTGGAGGATGAATTGGGGAAATGCAGTGTAAATGTAGTGTAAATACACTTTTAAGTGGAAAATTTGATTTTTGAAGTAATCCTATACTTGCCAAGCCCTTAATTTTTTACTGCTGTTGCCTTTTATGGGTCACACTTGCAAAATTTTTTTTAAGCATCATAGCTTCAGGAAGTTAAGGACATTAAGTTTTTAGTAAAAAAAATTGTGGAACTCCAATAGGAAACATGTGATTTATTTATGCCAAAGATGCTGAGTCATTGGGACAATCCAGATTGTAATGTATTGGTCTTGAGTGTGTCTGGCTGGGCAGGTTTGCATGGGAGGATGGAGCAATGGGCACTGAGAGGGCATGTTGTTTTTTTTTCTCCTGGGTATGAATCAGGTCAAAGTCAATAAGCTCTCTTAGTTTATTGGGCCATTGCCAGCCTGGACTCTTCCCTGCCAGCAATGATTATAGTTCAGTGGGGTAATGGGAGAGGATGGAAAAGAGCAAACATCTTCACATGCTTACACTCATTCACATTTTGTGTTCACATCCACATCCTTAGGTAACCTTGGAGCAGGTCCAGGTTTTTTGTTGACATTTTCTCCTCCCATTTGCCTGATGGTGTCTCATATTGTAGGTTACGTTGGGTGTGTATTGTCTGATACTTGTTATGGTATGTGGGATTTAAACTTAAAGAGCACTTACATTCTGTGTGGCCCATGACATATCAGTGAAATGTGTTCAGCAATCTCTCTTGGAGCAGATAAGGTGTGATCATGCCTTATCAGTGCAATTCTGTCACCTTTGAGTTACCTTGGGGGGATGAAGTACTTTTATTGGTTCCTCAACTCAAATGCTCCATTTTTTTGCTGGCAGGCACTCCGGAGTTTATGGCCCCAGAGGTGTATGATGAGCACTACGATGAGAGTGTGGATGTGTATGCATTTGGCATGTGCATGCTAGAAATGGCCACATCTGAGTACCCATATTCTGAATGCAGTGGTCCTGCACAGATCTACAAGAAGGTCACTAGTGTGAGTTCCTGCTGTCATATTCACACCTTCACATTCTCAGTGCATAGTTTGTCTGGTGATGAGGCCCATCTTCCACATCTTGCAGGGTGTGAGGCCACAGAGCTTTGAGAAGATTGAGAGCCCAGAAATCAAGTGCATCGTAGATCGGTGCACTCGGCTACGAATAGACGAACGGTGAGTGAGGATGGTGCTTCCATAAAAGTAGATGTCATTTGGTAGAGGTTATGCAAGGTATTGCACAACCAAAACCAGCCCAGTAGAACTGGTATCATCCTCCTCTTCATTCTCATAAGGAGGAAAAGGGTTTTCCAGCTTCAACTAATTAGCCATCAAGGCCAAAGGAAACTGGAACATTGATTTATACGTTCAGAAGATTTAACATCGGTGTTCATGCCGACCAAGGACAAGATGTTATGTGGGATGATCACAATTTCTTTATTTTGCAGTAAAACGTTTCAACTAATAGAAGTGTAATTTCACTAGTGACAGTGTGATACAAATCATTAACATATTCCTTCAATGCATTAATTTTGAATTGCTGCATAATAAATTTTATGTTGATTTTATTTCCAAACTTAAAATTTTTTTTATCCCCATCTATTGCAGAAAAATCTATCAGTCACTTGCATATTGCAAGAACAATATTGCCAGAAAGAGGCATTAATAAATGGATTGCTCAGTCCTTTTATATGTAACTTTTGTCATTAATTAAAAGTTCTAGCTGTCTATCTGTTTTTGGCAAGGGTACTTTGTCTCTATGTGTGATACCTTGGCTTCAAACATTTGTTCATAGTTTTGCTTCAACCCAAGAAAGGAAATCTTATTGTTGGATAGTATGCATAGGGTTGCTGTAATTTTAGGTAAAAAATGTGATAGGAGACTTTTACAATAATTTGAAACTAATAACACTATTCTCCAGAACTTGCAACATTATATGGATGTCAGAATGTTATTCTATTTCAATAATATTCCTAGACTGTGATTATCAGCTTTTCCCCTCTGGAGGAATATGCACCTCCTTTCCCTGTGTAATAGCTGCTCATTTTAAGCTATTACCTCATGGTAATAGTTTAAAATGAGCTGTCATAACAATTGTTGTTACTGAGTCTTGATAGAAATGATTGTGATAAATTCTGCAGGCCAACTGTCAAGGATCTGCTGAATGAAGAGTTTTTCCTGGAGGATGTGGGCCTGAAAGTGGAGCTCGTGTCTCGAGAAGAAGCCGTGGTCTCAGATGGCTCCAAGGTCGAACTCAGGCTGCGTGTGCTGGACCCCAAGAAGCGCAAAGATAAGCACAAGGAGAATGAAGCCATTCAGTTCGAGTTTGACATCCAGATGGACAACATTGATGAAATGGCTGCTGGCATGGTAAGCAATCCTGCTCTCTTTAATTCAGGAAAAGAAAGCCCTCATTGACATAGGTCGTAGTGAAATATTTTATGCAGAAGTGATGGGAATCAATTGAGATCCTGTTTCTGCATATGAATGTGGCAAATATTTGCTTGATCAATGAACAAGGTTTTGACTGGCCTTATATGGCACTTGAATACTTAATGATGCATGCAAGTTGATATGTCAGACTTATATAATACTGGTTCAATAAGCCTCAGTGAAATTGCCATTAATGTATGGGTAATGCCTGCAAGTGTGCTGGAGCTGGTGAAACAGGTTTCTGTAAATGACCATGTTAATTTCCTTCATTCATGAACCAGCTGCTGCAAGTGGTACTTCAGTATCCTCCTGTATAATGTTCATAATTGCCTGAGGGGCTGAAGCCCAGTAGCTCCTTCATAAGCATGTGGGCCTCTCATGATGTCATGAAACCCATCAAGTGTGCTTGACCTACTCCTTCCCCTTGAGTTGAGAGAAAGTCTGGAGCACTTCTTATTTCGATTTGTTTCTGGATGGTCATCACCTGTGTCTCTGTGATGTGCCATAGAGCATCATCTTGTAAGCTATAATGGGCCAATTGCTTCCCTTAAACAGATTTCCTAGACAGAGAATTATAGGTCTGTTTTATCAAGAAATATTCATTTCCCAATTATCTGGTGATGGATTGTTTAATGAGCATAACCTTATTTGAAAGTGCCTGTTTTTCCTCTCCTATTTTGCTTGGTATTTCTATACTACTCTCTTTTTTACTCTGTCTTCCATGCAAGTATTGTGCATGTATGAGTTTCAAAACCGTTATCCTGTAACTTTCAGGCTGCAACGGGCATCATCCCTCAAGACGACGTGGTGGTGGTTGCACGTCTCCTCCAGATCCAGATTGCAACTGTGATAAGAGAGAGAGAGGAGCGGAAGAAGCAGCAAGAGACGGCTGCTGCTGCTGCTGCCGCAGGCCTAGCCCAAGCACAAGTGGAGGCTGCAGGGGAATCCTGTCTCCCTGTTCCTGGCCCACCTCCTGTTGAACAACAGCAACAGCAGTCTGGTGAGCCAAACTCACTTCACTCCTTGCCATCGCCATCATGTGTGGGGTGCATCAATATGCTTCCATTGTGGGGTACAGTTTATCATCCCATCTGTTGTTCCTGACAATGTGAGGTGAAGTATGGTGATGAAATATTCATTCATGATCATGAAATAATTTTTCCTAGACATATTTCATACTTGCCTGAGATAATAAAGCATTCCTACTTTCATCTGCCCTACAGATACAGATTAGAGTGCCATAGTTTAACCTTCATCCTACTGGGTTCTTGGGAATACTTTGGTCCCCTCGTGGCTGGAATTTAATTCCACCCTTTCAAGCTCTAAGGCATTGTATCTTGCAAAAAAATTTATGTATTCACAATTTTATCAAATGAAAACATGTGAAAAGAGCAAAAGTTGCTGTACTTATTTACAAATGTTCACCCTTTTTTCCTACTTAAAGTACTTACAAAGTATTGCTGATACTCTTAAAGAGTATCAGCTCTGATTGGCATTGGTGATACTCTTAAAGAGTATCAGCAATGCCCATTATATAAAACAAATATTTACAACAGAGCCTAGCCCATCATGAACGAATTGACTGTACAGTACCATGCCGCAACCTCATCGTATGACAATTACATCATTTGTTTGGGTTAGAAGCCTACCCAAAGGCCAGAAGGGTTTGTTGATGCGACATGTGTGCAGCACTAGATGTATCTAACATTTGTTCAATGGAGGTTACTTATGTTAGATATATCTAACGTTCATAAGATATAGGTTAAGCCTGGCATTCCTCTTCCATACATGTGTGGTTGTCATCTCAGGGGCTCGAGCAAAGAATACTCATGCCTCTTGTCCATTCCTCTGTAAAAGAAATAGAGTATATCTCATAGAGTTTAAACAGTGAGAATGTTCATAGGAATCTGAACAGGGACTCATGGATGATGAGTTTGCACTTTCTTTCTGAAGGCATTGGTGCCCTTGATATATTCATGCCATAAAATCCCCAATATATAATATTTTCTCATTGCCTTCATAGAATGTAGAACTCCAGTTTTCAGATGGTTTATATTGGATGCATGTGTCAGATTAGCTATGTTGACAAACACATTTACATGGTTGAGATACAGCACAAACTTGTAGTCCTATAATAGTAATGGCTCCAATTTTTAGGAAATTTATATCATGCTGTTGTTATAGCTATGTTCCACCATCAATCATCACTGTTAGGCTTTGGGATGGGAGCATTTAAAAAATCAACTTCTAGGATTAAAAATTCCTCTGGGGAAGGTATGCCTTTCGGATAGAATAGGAAAGGACTCATTCTATAATTTAGGCAGACTTCATTTGCAAATTGCCTCCAGCTGGCCAATTTCGAAGTTTCTGTGGTGGAGGTTATTTTTTTGTTTCATGGTATAATTCCTGATGTTATGATAATGATATCGAAAATGCTATATCTGCTTTGCATTTGTGCTCTCACTTACATATGTCAAGAATAGAAAAAGAAATAGTACAGGTTGTAATGGTTTCTGATGTATCATCATGTGTTTTACATCACTTTCCTTGCAGATGGAGAATCTGGCTATGCATCAGTGACTCAAGTAGATGCAATTGCTCTCCAGAGTCACCCTTCCCAAGTTCTGCAGATGCCACAATCCCAACCACAGATGCCACAGCCCCAACCACAGATGCCACAGCCCCAACCACAGATGCCACAGCCCCAACTGCAGCAACCTCAACAACAGATGGTATGACTTTGGCATCTTTCAGATCTTCTATGAGTGATTCCTGTTATGAATTTCTCATTCTTTTGTTGCAGCCCTTAGTGTCAACGCAGCCAGGACAAGGACAAATTGTCACGGGAGGTGCCTTACATCCAGCCGCTCAAGTGGCGACATATTCGCAAGGATTTGGCCAGGTAGGGATCCTGCCTCCCGACCTTCCTCACACCCCCTCTCAGCAGCAACAACACCCGATGTCGCAACTCCGATATGTGGAACCCGAACTCCAGGCGACTGGCTATCTGCCTGAAGTGGGACCTGTCTATGTTATTCCTGCACCTGCCCCAACCTCAGCTCCACTCATGTCCCAGGCTACCATCCCAAAAACCCCCATCCCAACCCTGGCACCTGGTTCTCAGACCTTGTATAATGTTTCTTATGACGCCGATGGACAGCCCATCTACATCCCCGGATCGATGCCGATCCCGATTCCACACCCCATCATTGAGAATCCTGTTGTAGACCTCAACCTGCTGCAATTCCAACAACCTCCACCTGTTGTGGTTCAACCAGAATTAATTCCCCAGTTATCCCAGGCCTTTGTAATATCTCATCAGCTGCAACCCCCACCTTCCCTTAACATAGGGATGGTCCCTGAACTTCACCCGATTCCTGTTCCCATGATCCAAGAACCCTTGACCCATGACCCATCCATGGATCTGCTGAGTGATGCAAAATCGCTACACCCCACTAACATCCAGCCATTTGTTGCGGTTCCTAATGCTGTGGGAGTGCCAGCACCTCCTCATTCGTCTGCACCAGACGTGAATGTAAGTTTGCATGGTGGGACTGGACTGTCGCATGGCCTTCAGGCACAGGCACAAGTGGGGATGTTGTCAGTGGACCCAGCTCGCACGACTAATGTCAATCCTTGTTTGGTTCCGTTGAGTTCTTCCCGCTCGACTGTCGCATCAAATCTCCTGTGCCGTCCCTCACAGGTTGGTGTGAGTGCCAGAACTGCCCTTTTCCCAATGGTGACAAATACTGCTGTACCCCTCCCTCACTTGCAACTGGATTATGCTCGCCTGATGTCCCTTCCCTCACAATCCCTGCTCACTCCACTCCTGCTCTCTCTGCCAGCTGACAATGGGCAATCATTGAGACCTTGTGGGAGTCCTAAGTTTCCTCAACAGATGCCCATTCCCATATCACCCAAACAATCAAATCACCGAGTCCCAACAGTGGAAATTACAGAATCAGATGAAAAACCACTGTTCATTCCAATCATGGCTAAGTGTCATTCTCAACCTGCCTCTCGTGCTGTCAGCCCTACGCCAGGATGCATCCAGTACCATAGAAGTCTGTCTCAGACATTTCACTCTGTTCAGAATTCCCCAACATCATCCCTGACCCTGACTGTCTCCCCTGGCCCATATCTCTTTGAACCAATCTGCATGGATCAGTCCAGTCAGACGTCTCCACTCCCAAGTGGTTCGAGTCGGGCAATCATCCATCCACGACCCGTCCGAATCCACAGGGACTCGGATTCTCAGACCGACTACAGGGATGATGCATTCCAGGCCATGCCACTGAATCAGTCTTTTTCCTACCCTGCCCTGTCATCCTTGGATGCATCCCTTCAAAAGATACATGGCCATGGCATGAAGCGGGAGCCACCCCCTTCTGTCCATTCAGGAATGCAGACTGCTGACACGGATGTGATGCCTCAGGTCTGTCACTCCCATCAGAGGAGTGCTCCTTGTAATCTCACTTATGCTCCTGCTTCTCCTGCTCCAACATCATACAATCATGCTGGAACGATATCGGCAACTCAGATGGTGCATGCGAGCATGGCTCAGCCTATCCATACTGCTGTGGCAAGTACTGCTTCTCAATATGTCCAGTATGCAAGACAGGACCGACAAAATCTTGCATTACAGATGACAGCCTCTGGGGACCCTAATCAAGGGACATTGATATCCCCAACAGCAAATGCAGCCATGACTCTCCTGCCACATTGTTCAACAGTACCTGCCATGTCACTGCATTCAGATCAACCCCAACATCCACCTTCAGCTGTGGCTGGAGGTGGACCCCAGTATGCAATGACCTATAGCGGAACCCCATCTCCAGGTTTCTCTTCGACAACTATGGTGGCCTCTCATGGTCCCTCGCAAAATTTGTATGTCCCTGTCTCAACCCCTGTAGAACCAGAGAATGTGTTTATTCCTGTGAGCACCCAAGGACAGACAGTTTTGGTGCCAGTGAGCAAGGATACATTTCATGCTATCATGAGCACAGCAAAGCCAACATATGCTCACTCCCAGATTGTGCCTGAAGTTCAGGCAACAAGCCTAGTTATGTCTATGCCTCCTATACATCAGGCAAAGGTTTCAATCGCACAAGGAGGCATTTTGATGCATTCTGCCATATCAATGCACCAGGTACAGGAGGCACCCACCCCAAAATTGATGTCACGCGCTTCAACTGGAGTTCCTCAGCAGCCAATTTATACAGTTGCAAGCACAACAGCAGCCACCCACCTCTCCCATGCTGTAGTGACCTCACCTACTCTCAGCATGCCCACAAAAGGGGCAAGATTTTTTGTCGGAACACCACCAGGGACCCCAGATGCAATGGACAGGATTCGCTATCAGGTTGGATCTCCTCGCCATCTGTCTCTGTCTCTGCTCTTGCATCTCTCTGATGCCCCACCAGGCCTCCTGTCCTATATAATTATCTGCCTTTAGACTTATGCATATAATGCAAGAGAGAGCAAGGCCCATAGTGAAAGAAAACGCTTCACACTCGTGGTTGGTGAAGGACGCAGCAGTTTGCACTCGCACGTGAGAGTTCGGCTTTGCATGGCCTGCTTCATTGGCTTCATTAGCCCCTCCTTTGCAAGGCCAAGGGAGGCAACCTCTTGCACCTCTCCCACCTGTATCCATTGAAACTTCCCTTCATGCAACATTCCACTTCCTTTCCCCATCATTTCCTGACCCTTTTTTTTCTCCTTTGATCTTTCACTTTTGTTCCTATATTTTCATTCATGTGAATACTCTTTCATTTCTTTAGACTTAATATTTGTCTTGCATAGCTGTAGCTTTTTGTTATATCATGGTCCTGTATATATTTTGATGGCATTTCTCCAAATATGGGATGCAGGAGACATCAACATTGTATGCCTTTAGTATTCTTTGGTACTTCCACTTGATAGATGGAAGGTCATCCTGCATTTTTCATACTTGGAGCTTTGGTAATTGTATATGATGACTTGAGTGCATGGAGATGCAAATAATCATCACCTGTGGATGTGTAGAAGTTGAGTTGAGGATTCAGTAGCCTGCATGAGTAGAAAACTAGCCTAAGTTCCATTTTACTAATACCTGTAATTTAGAGTCATGGCAATGGATATGATGGGTATTTTGGGAACACGTAAGCTGTCCATGCTAAAGTATCATCCTGAAACTGAAAAAAAAATCAAGTTCATGAAGTTGCATTTTTTTGTGTCTCAAGAATGTGGGACATGAATAATTTCCTGTGGGTCTTTTCCATTACCAGTTTTAGAGTATCATATATTAGAAGGAATCAATCTGGTCAAGGTTTCCTTTGTAAGATGTGGTAGTGAATGCAGTATAACAGGGCTGCTCAACCTGTGGACTGCAGTTCACATCCAAACTACAAGTTCTCGTTTTCCAAACTGTAGACTGGTGATCATATCTCCAACATTTCTCCAAACAATCCCCTTCAACTTTGTGTTGCTGCCCCCCCCCCCTTCTCCTTTCTCCTCTTGCCCCAAATATTTTTTACATTATCCTTCTCATAGAAATATCATTAAGGTGACTGCATCAGAATCGTGTGTCAACTCTTACATTTGAATTTTACTTCTGGACTGCCAGACCTCCAGGATGTCAGAATGGTGGACTTTCTGAGATACTTGTTGAGCACCCCTGCAGTACAACAAACACTTCCTGTACAAATTTTTGAAACAAATGACTTTTTTGCTTAACAATTATGACATAACCTTCAGCCACTGATGTTTTGAGTATGTCTATTAAGCACCTCATTAAGAATGAGGTGCTTAACCAGGTGCTTCACTTATAACCAGGTTTAAAATCTTTTTTGGAGAAGTGATCTTTTTGAAAAATTTGAGAGTCAGCTATGTTGCAATGTATCTTGATGATGTTTAGCAGTACATACTACAAACTCTTAAGACCATATTGCTTACTGTGGGAGACATTCAAGCCATTGCCTTTCATGTGACAAAACAGCAGCAGCAGGATGCAGGAGTGAAGGCTGCACCATCAGAGGGCATGGGTGTCCCAGTGAAGCCAAATGTAGCAACTCAACTAGACCCTGTCAAGGGCTTCCAGTTCCCTTCAGCATATGATTGGTAATATCTCAACTCATAACTGCAAGGGAGCATGAGGATTTTTTTAATTTATGAGGCAATAATAATTAAGGTCAATAATCTAATTGATGATGTGGTGGTATGTGGTGGTCACAGGCAGGGAGCCGGGACAGATTCGGCGAGTGAGCTCAGTGAGTCCACCTCAGATCGGAAGCCAGAGAGGAAGAAGCGACGAAAGAAGACCGTGGAGAGGGGTCCAAGGCTCACTGTGTTGGAGGTGAATGGGAACATTGTAGAATGCCAGTTGGAGACAGCCAAGCAGAAAACTGTGACCTTCAAATTTGACTTGAGCGAATCTGAATTGGCCGAGGTCACATCCGATGTTGCCAACAATCTAGTGAGGAAACTGGATCATCTATTGGAAGCTTTATTATGAGTGCTCTGGTTTGCTGATTTGGTTTTTAAATTGTTTTCCTAGGTTGCCACTAATCTGCTTCCAAGCCAACATGCAGAGATAGTGATAGATCAGCTGAATGAGATCATCTTTCAGCTGAGGAATAATCCAGGGCAAGTGCCTGTTCTGGAAAGGACCGCGAGCCCTGCTTTGCGCTTATCCCGAGCCGATGAGGAGACAGACTCCAAGGTGATTAGATTGAATATGCATTCTTCAAAGTAAGAGCTGCTCACTTATTGGGGAGCTTCAGGGTGTGTACTCCTTTGCCCAAAACTCTTTTCATCTCAGTCAGTAGTTCATCAAACCTCATTGAATGTTTGTTTTATACTGATTTATGCCCAGTTTCCAGATATTGTATATAGAGATGTGCACAGAAAATGGAAGATTTGTTTTTTTATGTATTGAACTCCAACAATTCTTATCAATGCACTCAAAAGACAAACAAGACAAGGCTTGCAAACAGATATGTATTTTCACAGCTCTTGCCACAAAGATAAGTTCTGGTTTATCTAAGGGTTACATTCTGGGAAAGGCAGAAAAAAATATCAAGAGTTACTCAGTCTGGCCCTTACCTTTCATGCAGTACTTGGTATCATAGAAGTGCACTCTTTCCATTGGGAATCTAACCTCCAAGAAGTGGATCATCCCTCCAGGTCGTACTATGGGGTCTTGCCTTGCCTCTGTACTCTTAGCTTTTCCAAAAAAATGAAGGATGAGCAGTATAGTGATAATCACATATCAACAAATACTATTTCTGTGCAAAAAGTTTTGATTCACTCAGCTTTTAAGGGTTAGCTTCTATCACTGTATCCAGAATTTAAGTTAACATAATAGCAAATTGCATCCAATTTTTGTAGTATTATATTGAACATTTCTTGCATTCTGGGTAATTGTTAACTGATTCTGCAAATATTGAGCATAGCTTAGAGTTTTAAATCATTGAAGCTTTAGGAGAGGTCCATACTGGACAAGAGTAAGAAATTTGCATGGATTAAGCCCCTTTAGTTTGCAATTTTGGACAGAAGGGAGAAAAACTCTGATCACAATTATTTTTTACTGAAATATGTTGCTATTTAACTTTTGGAAACATTCAGGAAGATCACCATTAATTCCATCATTTAAAAAATTCATTAATTATATATAAATATTTGAGTTTCAATATGTCAAATTATTGTGATGTCCAAAAAATTGGCAAATTTTACAAATGGGCCTGAAAAAGCAAAGACCAAAAATGGACCCATCTTGCATCCATAGATGGTTAAAGGGCTTCCCTATAGTGTCTTCTGAATGACTTCTACAGGTTGCAGGATCCATATCCACTATTGAAACAGAAAATAAAGCAAGCTCTGTTTTACATATGCACACCACTAATGTAAGGTATTCTTAAGGGAATGAAAATCCAAGAAAAGTCTTTAGTGAGTAAACTTTTGATATGCAGTTCTTCCAGTATGTTTTCTGCAGATTCTTTCTGAAATCTGCTACAGAGGAGAAAGAGAAAAAGAGAAGAAAGAAAACTTTTTTTGGGACAGGGTCCATGAGAAGTGTGTAATCACATATCTCATGGGGTCAATGCCTTATTTGTTTATTCCAGTGCCCATAAAATGGGTCTGGTACAGATGACATTAGAGACCAGTCTGCTTTGAGATGGATGAGAGCTTTCATATCTGGAAGGCTCATGCATTCCAGATTCAGGAGAGCATATCACCATGGGCATGTGCAGTTGCATCAGTCCCACATTCTTTTGGTGCTGTACTGCAGACTGGGACTCTCCCTTGTTCTGGTCTAGCCCAGGTTCATGTCTTGTGTGGTTTGTGAGTCTGTGAGATATCCTACTGTGATGTAGTCATGAATTAGTGAGATTTTCACATATTTTAATGCTTTTTCAGAAGGTTTACCCCCTTTTTTCTGCAATCCCCATAGCAAGGAATGTGAAAAATTGCTGTCACATTGGGCTCCAGAAACTGATGTTTTCCAATCGGTTCATTTATTAAAGTAAAGCATCTAGCTGTTTTGAAAAATCACACATGCTGGTGATCTGCGAAATTGCTTCTATATGCCAAATCACAATTATACATGAATTATGACCCCTCAAGTCCATGATGCTTCTCAGAGAAAAGGAAGATATCATGAGGAGACTGCCCTATCCTCTTTATTTGAAGTTAAGCAAATCTTAACTCAAGCTGGTAAACACCATTATATTGGAGTTAGTGTAGGCAGCCCAATCCATATCTTGCTTTTTTTTGTTTCTTGACATGGGAGTGTGTGTCTCTATCTTATCTTGGCAAATGCCCCTGGCTCAGCAGCCACCTTTTACCATCTGTTTACATTCCCTTCAAGCTCTCCCGAGAGCATCCTGTCATCTTGTATTTTGCCTAGTGTTCTCACTGAGTGATCTTTCCATGTGAGTGCATGTTCTACTTGCCAGCTCCTGGAAGGCAAGCTCAAATCTGTGGATCTATTGGCTCTGCATTAAATGGTTCTCTGATTGTTAGAATAAGACATGAAAATGTATTAGCATATTGAATATGGCTTGCTTTTTAGCATGTTTCTCTTCTGTAATATTTAACACCCAACCTGAAAGTAGAAACCAAAAGAAAGATCCTAAAAAAGACTCCAAAAAATTTTCTTAATCTGCAGGAAATGCAGTCAACTAATAGAGGAAACACATTTGACAAGAACTTTGCCAATTTGGTATGGGGTACTATGAGAATTAGAACTGGTAGTCTGCTCCGCGACCAATGCTGCAAAATTTTCTCATTGGAAGCTCCCATTGCCAAAAATTCCAAAATGGTCAATACAGTTCAGTTTCTTTGTATAATTCATTGGAATATTATGCTGAAGGGCTAAGGAGTCTGGGTGACTCCTTTGATGGAAAACTGACTGGTGGGTGACTTTTAAATGGTTATGGAAAGCAAATTAGAAAGAGTCTTTAGGAAAAAATGACTGCAAGATAATGGTTAGATGGTGGAGCCATCAGAAGCATTCATACTTTCACCACATACTCAATTGCAGGCATTCTGCATGACGAAAAATGTTAAAGTAAAAGTCAACAAGGAAATTAATAGGAACTGCTTGTCTATTGTAGTCCCCAGCTTGTAATTGGAGGGATGATCAAGTGAAATGGATCAATGACTGGGAGTTGCATTGGTTGCTTTAGGCTGAGGAGGATAGGAAGCTGGATGAGGATGATAGATCTGAGGGAGAGAGATTGCCCTCTGAACAGAGCAGTCCAGTTCGGAGACCACCTTCAAATCCAAGCACTATCTCAAACCCACCTAGTGTTCCAGAATTTCTCCCAGAATCATCTGTCAGGGTCTGTTTGTTTGTCTCTTCCTCATCCATTCTGTTTTCACAAATGACTCCTGATTCTCCATTCAATCACTAGCAGGGTCGCTTCATCGTCAGTCGAGTAGTGGAGTCATCTCTTCCTCCACCAGAGCCTTCTCTAGTTTCACTTCCACAGAATCAGCTCCTGTGCTCTGACGGGAAACTCCCAGTACCTGCTGACGAAGTGCGTGTTTCCTAATTTCATTTGCAGTTCTGACCTATATAGAAATGCAAGTGCAATGTGGCATACATGTGAATGTGATGGAAATTGTGCTCTGTTTCCAGAATAATTTATCTCAGGCAACAGTCAATTCATCGGTGGCAGGCGATCTGTCAAGCTCAGGTGGCCCTACATCCCCCTTCAACCTCACACCCGAATCCACCTTCTCGGAGAACCTTCCTGAGCCTTTGGACCGACTCCCAGCTCAAGATAGTGCCCCAACCCAAAGTTCCAATGCGTAAGTCCCCCTCTGCTTGCATATGGAAGACTGTGAATGGTACCAATATCAAAGTTTAAAAAAATTGATACTGCTGCATTTCAGTCAGGGTCTGAAGAGCTTGGCAGATCTGCAGCAGCAGTTGAACCTGTTAACCTCACAGGCTGAGGGAGTCAATCAAACCTATGGACCCTCCATTTCTGGTGCATCGTCACCGCACCTCATCGATCTGCAACAAAAGCTTGTAAATCTTCAGATGAGCCAGGTATGTTGGTTTGGCCCCACAGTATCTACAGCCTGCATGAAGTGGGCCTTTTTTTTAGCAATACGTCCTGATTTCCTTTCCTGTGATCTGTCCCAAGGTCACTATGTATATTGCCTAACATCTCTTAACTCTCTCTGGGAAGGAAGATGGCCTCTATAGTTGGTGACTTTCAGATATACTGTTAGCTCTGAAAAAAATGTTTGCTAATATTTGAGGTTTCTGAAGTTTATTTGAGCATACTTTTTTGTAATTTGTTTCATCTTCATCTCCCAAATAACCTCTTTGAAAAAGTAATATCCAAGATCAAAATTACTGGCATTTTATTTATTTTCTTATTTTCTCTTTTTTAAATGGAGCCATCTTCTTTCCCCCACAAAGGAATATATCCCTGTGTTCTCCCTTTCCATCTTGTGAATTTCACTGGTCACGCATGTTGAATCTATAGTCAGAACTTTGTGTTTAACTAATACTGCTTTGGGGGCTTGAATTGAAGCCACCTTCTTTGCAGTAGGCAGGTATGGGGGAGGGGGAACTTTCAGCATAAATTCTGTGAGCATCTCCTTGGAAATGCCTTAAATGGGAAGTTATACTCGAAACAATGCAGATTTTTTCATCATGCCAATTTTTTTCATTTCTACAAAAGAACTTTGCCCTAGTTGGGAGTCAGTCAAGGTCAGCTAGCTAGCATCCTTTATAGGGAGTATATGCTTAGTTCAGGAAACTCTGACTTACCCTCTAATGAGTGTAAATTCTGCTTCTGTACCTATGGAAGGGAGAGTTGTCCTGGATTGGTGTGCCTCTTTACTCAAGAGATGCAAGTTTTCATCAACAATGATGGAACAAGCTTTGGAAATGAAGTATTAGTTCCTAAAGCCAGATATTTTGATTCCAGTAAAGGTTGTTTTTAGTGAATGGGATATTTTTTTTTAGAAAGAAGGAAATGTGTTTCAGTGAGAGGGAAACTATCCCTTTGTGGCTCCTGATGTCCTCAATCTGTTTCCCCTCTGTGACAGATATTGCAGATTCATCACATTAATGGCATTGTGAGGTATGAGCTTGATAAAGATGGCAGAGATTGTATTGCTTTCCCCAGTATTTTTCTCATTTTCATGAGTATACTGGGTGGCAGATTTTATTTAGCCCTTCCCCCATCCTTCTAAATGCTTGCAACCATGAACAACTAAATTTTATTTGCTGAGAAGTTTGAAGGGGGCTTTGTAACCTTTCTTCTCTCAAAGTACTGCAGCAAAGTGCCTGGTTGGAATCCTCCAGTCTCCATTTTTATGGAGACCGAAGGTTGCAAGTATGTAGAAATGCTGCAGGTGGATGGGAAATGTTTAGAGGTTCAAAGGCATCCCTAGAAACTCAAATGAATTTTTGTTGCATAAATAAAATATTTTCTTGTTGCAGTTATACCAGTAAGTTCAAAGGGGGGGCAGGTTGGCAAATAGTGTGTGCCACCCTGTCTATGCATACATGTGTAGAACCTACTTGAGTAATTCAGTGGAAAATTCTGTTTGCCTCCAGGAACACATTTTTCATCATGATCTGTTATAGTGATGTCTCACTCATCTAACAAAATCCCAAGTTAAGCAATTATAAATTAGTATTCTCTTGGACTATGGTTGGACTATGTGGACTATGGTTACTTAACATAAATATTGGTTCAAATGTTTAAACTAGGCATTCAAGTTACCAAAATTACTTAACCGAGTTACCAAAAATATACGTGTGAGAAAGTTTTGATTTACTTAGGTTTGTCATTTGTCATTGTTGGGAAATATGCCTGCATCTCTTGAATGTGCAAAAAATTTTGCAAATGTGAACGTGTGTGAGTGTGCGTATGTATGCGAGAGTGTGCTAATGAATGACGTGTCGATGACCCGTCTTCAGGGCGGGATGGGTCGAGTGCGACGTCCCAACACATGGTCCGTGCCCCCTCGCAGGCACAATTACACCAACCTGGCTCAGATATTCAGTGTAAGTAGCACCCATTCCCAGTGCAGACTAGATGCAGAGAGAACACTGGAGGAGACAGAGATTTTTCTACCACAGATGTACCACCTGTGCACCCTCCCTATGTTGATGTTCCTTCCCCAATCCCCCTGTCTCTGAGGCAGGTCCATGTGTTTCACCCCTAATTCAGGGCTGGCCTTGCACCAACTGCTTTCTATTGAACATTACTCATTTGTGATGTTCAGGTGCCTTGATATCAAACACACATGCAAAATAAACAGGGTTCTTTATCAGCAGAAATAATCAGGGAGAAGGACTAGCTGCTTCCACTACCACACAGGACTAGAAGCATGTATCCTGACCAGAGCTGCACAATGTTTTGTATCGCTTGCGGCAGACAATGTGAACTGAGGAAAGTAGGAATGCCCTCATAGTTACCTCTAGGTGTCATGAAGAATGATCAGCAAACAGTTGTGTTGATAACCAAGGGCATATGCTGCTATGGAAAATGTGATCAAGTCTGGCAGAATTGAGCTTCACCCTGACATGGGGGACTTCCATTCCCCAAATGGTGTATGAGGGCTGATGACATATCTGATGTGGATTATGACATTGTTACAGTGTCACTTTGTGTCAATTGATGCAGCTCTGGTCTTGGTGATAAAAGACCTAATTGCCTTCTGATTCTGGTGAAACAGCTTTCATAAAATTAATTTGTAATTGCTTCTGATCCTATGTTTAACAAGATGGGCTTCTACACACGGTATAAAAATTGAATGAAAGTGCAATTCAATGCCAGCACAATATGCCTAATGCAGCCCTATGGACACAGCACATGTTGGCATGGGAAGTTTGTTGTGCATGATTGTTTTTGTTTGGAATGTGGGCATGTTATGCATGTCTAGATGTCTTAAGCACCCCCTTATGCTTGGTGCCCCTGAAACCCAAACATTCCCTCATTTTGATGTCCCTGGTTTTTTTTTTTTTTCCCTAAGGCTGGTGAATGGTTTGTTCTTTTGCATTCTTTTTGTACTGCTCTTGAAAATGTTTTTCTTTCTAGAAACTTCGCAGCTTTGCAGAAATATGTTTTTATTTTTAGTACAAATTGGTACATGTTATCCTTGGGCATCACTGCTATTTTTAGAAATAATCTGAGATACCAAGAGAATTTTAATGGCACTTAGTTTCATGTGGTCACAACTTATTTCAAAGGTGGAATTAAGGAGTCCCCTTTTTCTGTTCCAAGCTGTCAATCACACCCATTGTCAATCACACCTTAACTGACTTTGGTCTTACTGCAAGGACATTTTTATGTTATCCTTCAGTTCCTTGCTTGGAGATTTTATTCATCTTTCCTTTTCTTTACCCACAAGTGGTTGCAGTTGAAAGTAAAAGGACTTTCTTGTCTTGAGAAAGGTAGTAGTAGAAAAGGCTCTGACTTGAAAAAAAAAAATCAATGGAAATAAGGCACTGTGAAGTTTTGAATCCAAGAAGTTATGTCCAGTTTTAAGTTGTGACCTCATTCATTATAGTTTTTCATGATGAAAAGTATACATATAGAGACTTATGAGTTTGATTGCAATTCCCACAGGCAACCCAGCCCTCCACAACTGCTCCGTCATCTACATCCTTCTCTGGCCATTCCTCCATCATGACTCAGGTGAGACAGAATGTTTATGTCTGATGTCATTCAAACTTTTTTTCACAACAATCTAAATGATAGATTGGAGTCATTTCATTTAATAAAGGCCTTCTCTTCCCATTTTATTAAATAAATTGGTGTGCAGAATTGGTGCTTTTTGTTATATTTAAAACTTTTTGTGTCAAAATGCTGTAGTGGTTGTCATATTTCTTGGCAGAGTTAAAACTGGAAGTGTGAAAGAGAACTTACAAGTAACCCACTTGGGAAAAGGGTGTTGTCTAAAGGGAGACTGGAGTTTAGTTTTGTTCCAGGCTTCTTCCTATTAATATAAGGCCTGTCTGCAGCAAGAACTGAAAGTTCTATCCCTTCAGGTCTTGTGTGTGATTGCTATTTTGCACAGATAGAGACACAATCCTCCTACCTGATAGGTTACACCACATCAATGCTTACTTGTAAAGTTGATTGGGATTCACATTGGACATGATGGAGGTACATTTTCTTCGTGCATTGTGCATCAAGGTTTGCCAGATTTAAGGGAAAATAAATATTGCAATTTTTCTTGAAATTCTGTTAAATCTGAACTCATTAAATTTTAAGCTAATAATTTTTCTTTCACTTGATGTTTCACTTGCACACCATACCTAGGAGAATGAACAAGAAAAAGAAATGTCATGCTTTGCATCTCATGGATGTTGTTACTGTTGTTGTTTCCTTCTTTCCCCATCCCATATTTGTTATCTCTCTGTTCTCCCGGCATTCTTATTCCCAAAACGCGTCTGGCTTTGGCTGTTGTGGGAGCAGACGGGAGAGTCTTTCCCTTTTCTGTACCCCTGTCTCTCTCGATCCCCGATTGCCCCTGCTTCCCCCATTCCTCCCCCGTTCCATCTCAATCGAAGGGATTTTCTCGCCGTTCTGCCTCTCTCTCGCCTCGAGGTACCTGGTATCCTCTTTCTCTGCTCATTCACCTGCACAGCCATTTCTCGGTCACCCTTCTCCTCACAATTTATACCTTTCTTTAGTGCATGCTCTATATTAGGAGATTCAGTGAAGGTGATCTTGCAGCTTCCTGAGAATGTCCCACATGCACCAGTTTTCCATTGTCATGCCTTGCTTGACAAAATGCCCTGTGAAGGTCATCATGATGATGTGTTCCAATACACTTGCTCCCTTAGGATGTGTATGGCACTCGCTACACTTGTTTTGTCAAAATGGTGGTATGAGTGATTTTTCATTACTTTTCAATCGGCTCAGCTGCTTTTCCTAGTCTCATGTCCCTCATACTTGTTGAAAATATTCTTAGGTCTCAGCTTTGTGTTGTTTTGCTTTCTGTGTAGAGCTTCATCTGTTATCCATGTTTTATGTCCCTGACCTTTGTTGTATGGGAATATGTGAATTTGCATATTTTTTTATTGCAATTGATTTATGTATTGGAAGGGCTGCCAGTTGTTTAGAAGCTGCACCTATTATTTGGGTATGGCCTCTGTCCCTGCTTACCATATGTTACCTATATTCTGCATCCTTTTAAAAATCACAGTTCTTTTCTTTACCTTGAAGTTATTTTATTCATTATTCAACCCCACCCGCATACACAATTTTGGACTTCGACTGAAGGGCTTTTCCTCATTATCAGACAGCAATCACTGCACAATGAAGGCATGGAAGCATGGATGTTCTTGATAAATATTCAAAGTGTACAAGAAATATTCATTATGACTGAGGAATCACCTATCAGTGTACATGAATGTGTATGTATGCACAGGGAATATAGGGTTGAATGAATGAATCATGTTCACACCATCTGCAGAGGGTCCTCTTGGGCAGTTTAGGCTTCAAAGGCTGAAATAAGTACTGGGCTTTTTTTTCATTGAAATGCAGAGCCACCTCATTTCTGCTTACAGAATAGGTGCATGGAATTAACCAAGGTAAATGTAATCTAGTCACAAAGGAATACCTGAATCAATAATCATATCACACTCACTCTTGAGCTGAAATAATCTAATTCAAGGACTGTGAAATATGGGGAAAGGTTTTCCATATTGATGCCAAAGTAGGCCTGCATATGTAGCACCTTACTGCTGTCATGGTTTTGTGGAACATTGCAAATACAGCATATTATTCTCTGCAGATGATGCTCTCATATTTCAAGGATCACATTAAACCTAGATGGAGTGAATCTTAGAGTCTTAATTAATGAACATTAGTCTTGGCAAAAATTGAGATCAACATTTGAATTGACAACCACTTTTTTCTGAGTGATGTGTTTGTAAAATTACCTCATCAGCATTGAAAAATGTCCAAATTTAATATATGTGGAACAGGTGGGCACATCCTCACCCCAGCAGACGCTCTCCATGACACAGCCGATCATGAGTGTCCCAAGTGGACTCCTTGAGGGTGGGATGTGGCCAACGCCTGGCATGGCACAAATGGCACATATCCATGCTCCCCATGCACATGATGATCCTTCAAGAGCTTCTCACCCCATCACAAATCTGCAGGATCTCCAACAGGTAGGTCACCTCATGACAAACTTCTCAACATCGTGTGAAATATCTCTCTATGATCCTTTCCTTCTCCCCCCCCCCTCACCCCCCAGAAACTGGCAAAGTTGAACCTCTTACCACGGTTCAGGGATCCCTCCAGTGCCATGAGTCAATCCCAGTCTTTCACTGTACCGAATGTTGGCTATTATCACCCACATGTGAGGACTCTTTCCTGAAATATTGTTATTGGTGCTGAAGTGAATACGAATGACTGTGACCTCTATGATTTTTCTGTAGTCTCCATTGTATTACTATGGTCCGGATGGACAGATAAGAGAATTGGACCACGAAGGAGTGCCTGTTTCAGTCCCTTCTCAGCTGGGGAGTGATGGAATGTCCATATCATCTTCTCATCCACCCACAAGTGATGAAGAGTGTCCAACTGGGATGGGTCAGCCTGCTGCTCCTCCACAAGCCTCTCATAGACAAGTCTCTCGGTTCCGCGTCTCCATCGTCAAGGACGATCCACTTCATGCCACTGGTGAGTCCTCTGTTGTTTCGTTTTCTAGATCTTATGGGTCTAATGCCAGAGGTTGAGATGTGTGATACATTATGAGGGAATAGTTTTTCTTGTGCTCTGCTGTTCCAGTGTAATACATTATTCTTACTTTTTTCATGAAATATAAGCAGATAGTTTGATTTTTCATGGATGATTGAATAAATGGAGGAATAAACTTAAAAATTATCAAACATGTAGTATCATGTCAAAATTTCTCTAAAGCCATCAAGAAAGGGGTGATGATATTTGTCATAGATGCTTCATTGAGCCTAGTAGTGAAACAGGAAGAGGAAGCTTTCATTTCCTGCTGTAAAGCTGCATTAATGCATTGAGTTTTTCCAGTATGGTACCCTAGTCCAAAAGTTCTTGAGGTTGCAGGGATTTCCTTGATGAAAGTTTGCAGCATAAAGTTCTAGGACTGAGCAAAATGGGGAATTGTGGAGCACATAGGAGTATGTAAAAATGAGAGTTTCATTCAAGTTTGTAGTAAAAAATACAATGTCTTGATGCAAGTCTGCATGCATAGGAATGGCTCACATGACACGAGGCTACCTGCAGGTTGCCTGGATGCTTGCTTCCTACCAGAGTGCCTACCCATCTTCTCTCGTCTCTGATGGTGAATAGTGTCTGTCTGTGGAAGTAAAATTGAACCCCTCACTGAGAACTGAATGTGCCTAGGCTCACCATTTTGTAGGATCTGCACATAGCATCCTCACAATCCCCCCACTTTTTCCTCTTGTCGCTATGCCTCAGCAGGAGTTTTTTGCTTTGTGTAGGTATGAGATGAGGATCTGGTGTACCTGTGAATTCTCATACAATTCCTCATTGTACTCATGCAATTTCTTGTGAATTGTATGAGTCTTTTATTCCGAAGAGAAATGATATAATTTCACCCTATGACTTGACTTGCTGGAAGCAGCTTATTAATGGTTGTGGCATAATGACCAACTGGCACTTACCTGTGGCAAGGCATCACCAAGCCATTGTTGGAGACTTTGTGCAGCAACTTTGTTCATCTCAAATGTCAACCTTTTTGAGAAGCACTTGTGACAAGTGGTGGAGTCAACAGAAAGTATACAAGCTGACTGCTGGCAATCAAAGAATTGATCAAAGAAAGATCAATGGATGAAATACAGGATAAACTTCACATATTTGAGTTTCATGAGTTTGGGCACCTCATGCAAATTTTAATATTTAAAGGTAGTTGGGGTTCAGCCTGTCTAACATTTCACAAATTTTCTAGACATATAATTGATGTTCCAGAGATGATTCCCATAACATATACATTAATTATTGCTTTCTGTTCATGTGTTGCTGTCGCCTCATCTATCTTCAATTTCCCTGGAGTAAAAATGTTTGCTTTTATGCACTACAGCAGTTGTGCTGTAGTGCTGTAGTGCACTTGAAGGGACTCATTTAGTTGTTTTTGTGAGCATGCTTTGACTAGCCTGTACCTCTCCTTGTATAAGTCCAACACAAATCAGAATTAAGTATAGTGTACTTTGTATCACCCTTTCATAAGAACAGCATATAACTTCCTCACAACATACCACATCCCAAGTAAATCTGTTGTTACAGCACCCCAACAGGACATTGTGTATCCTACAAGGGTCAAAACATTTACAATGGTTGCTATAATCTTCACCTTGTGTCTGCAGGGAGCTCTTCTCGGAAGTCTTCACCAGACCTCAGGAGAGAGGGAGGTGTGAATGCAGCCAGCCCTCAACCCATTCGCACTGGGCGCTTCAATGTCGTGACCTTCAAGGATGAACTTGCCAACCAGACTCCATTAAGTGGGAGTGGGAGGAATGGACAGGCGAATGGACCTCCGTCGTCGTCTTCCGCTGCCACTGTCCCTATGGACAAGCCCCCAGAGGTATGTCTCATAAATTCCCAAGTTTTACTTCAGTTCTAAGATCGTTTGTCATCACAAGAATTTGTTGAAGCTTGCTTGCTCCTAATTTTTCTTTGCATGAAACTTTTGAAACTTTTTACATACTGCTCTTTTTCCACAGCTGAGTCTATCTTGATGTCAGATGATGGAAACTTGCTGTGACATTGTTTTTCTGTTGCCTACTCTTTGGTATGCAAGGAAGCTGTTATGTTGAAATATTCTTCTTTCCATCATCCTTCCCATTATATAAAGTGACTGGCAGAGATGTCTGGTAAATTGCTGAAAATAGATAACTCTGCAAATAGCTACCAGGGATCTGAAAGAGGTAAATAACATGTTCATACCATCAAGGCAGACTCAGCCTGGGACATAGGATTACTAACTTAATATTCTTGATACCTCATTGTTATGGTAACTTTCCTTATTGCAAGCCCTTATTTTTCAGCACTGATACTGCTAATTTCTATCAAGGGAACTATAGTTTCCTTCTCTTAAAATACCACAGTTGATGGGCCAGTGTCAGTGATCTAAAGCCACAAAGACATTCATGCTTGTACTCGTTATACATTTTACATGGGTGCATGCTGGATTGATTCTTCAATGGTGTAGGAGGTGAAGGGGATGAGGCCGAACATTCGACCTGACATCCCATATCAATTTACCCCATCGCTGTATGGACACAGTTATCATCCTGTCACTGTTGCTGGATCCAACCCAAGCAGCCCCTATGGGATGTGGGCATGGCCCACCCCACCTCCCGTCGGACATCCTGCTCAATTTCCAAGTGCAGAGAGGCCACGGGATAAAACTCAGGCAATGACTACTTCCTCGATCCCTGTGTCTGTTGCTGATCAGAATGCCACCACAGCAAAGTCCAAGAAAAATCTTGCAAGTTACCCATCCAGCCCTGACTTCTTTAATGGTTTTCCTCGAGCAAAGGGACTACACACCAAGGTTGTGCAGTCAAATCACTTGAAGGGTTCAGGCCTTTACCGTTCAGGGAGCTTGGGGCACCTGGAAGAAAGTGGGAAACCCTTGCTGAGTCACTTTAGTGAATATGATGGGGAAGGAGCACGCCTCACATCACCAATATCCATTCCCAGAAAGCATGCCACCAGACTGCACCATCCTACAATTGCTGTTACCACAGCCCCAAAGAATATAGAAGCTTCAACGAATCGAAAGTCAGCATCTCGAGTATGGCAGAGCCTGACAGACATTTCTTCATATGTGGACTCCATGCTAAGGTTCTCAGAAAGCAGTGACACATCTGAGGAAGACTTTGAACTCAGTGCGGTGATGCAGGAAGGAGAGAGAACGAAGAAACGTCTCCCTTACTACGGGGCCCCTGCATCAAGACGAATGTGCAGTGATTTGAATACCATTCAAGAAATGTTTGACAGCCTTGATGATAGAGTCAGGATCGAGACCAATTACACGGATTCCCAGACGAGAGAGTGGGATCGTCGAGGACAGAATGACCTCAATGAAGAATTTGTTCTTGTTCCAATTCGCAAAAAGAGCCTGAAGCGAGTGGAGAGGACGGTTCAAAGGGAGGCCAACAAGAGGCGAAGGCTGCGACCTGCATTCAGCTGCTCGGACTTGTCCTCCAATCCCAAGATGAGGTCCCACAAGACCAGTCTCAACTGGACATTGGTAAGATCCACACTGCAGTCATGCATTGTCTGCTGGGGATGCTGAAACGCCAACACCTCCATCCCAAATTCACCCGTTGGGATTCAAGGATCCTGAGATCCTGCTTTGGGATCGCTCCTCGCTTCCATACCTAATCCCAATCCTGGCTTTGGCTCTTTAATTGCTTCATGAGCTCTAGAGTACTAACTATGCTCATTATAGAATTTTTTTTCTTAGAAGTTGCTGTATGCTGCAGCATGAAATAACAATTCTATCTGCAATCGAGCATTGGACTCATTTCAGAACATGCAAATATTTTTTACAACATTTGCACTAGGTATTTTATTTGCAGGGAGATCAAGATGTTATCGAGGGGGATGAAGACTTGGACCAGAGTGATGATGAGGAAATGCGCTGCATTCTGATTGGGTAGGTGTAGTAATGAGTGCACGCCTTCCTGGATTGTCTTTGATGTAAAATGCATTTGGCAGAAATCTTGCAAGCCATCAACTGTATTGGTATAAATTCTTTGTAAGTTCTCTCTGTTAGAGGTGTTACAAAGCTCTTTCCTCGATGGTATCAATTTGGGAATCATTGGCTGTCCAAATTACATGTATGGTGAGACGGAGTAGGGATCCAGGTTGCCAGATAGCTGAATGTTTTTGCTTGTTTGCATTTGTTCACTTGAGGATCAATCGAAAAGTTTCTCAAAAGCCACGGATGCTCTTTGTGAATCTGTTGCTTTCTATCCTTTCTGTAGGCAATTTTACTGCTGATTTTTAATAATTTTTTTGGCATAAACCAAAAATACTAATTTATTTGTTGACTGTTGCTTCCTGAATAGAGAAGCAAAAGTCTTGAAACTATTAAGTCTCAAAATTCAATGCCTAATGTTGTAAACCCATATTAATTATTTATCAGACTCAGACTTTCTTTTGTATCAAAGGAAGTTCATACACTGCTGATGACTTTGATAACTTTCAACCTAAATATCTCTTCTCGCACTGGAACTATTTTTGTGTGAACCTTGCACTTTGCACGTGTGATTGTTTCCAACTGATGTACAAATTTGCACCCAAATTTAATGGTCTGAAGTAATACTTTTAGCAATGATTGATAAAATATTAGATTTTGAGTATGGACAAGAGTTCCTGCTGGTAACAGAGTGGAGGAAACACCTGAGCACTGTCCTTCTGATCATAAAATCCACATCAAACACCTCATCCTAATAAAAATTAATTCTTTGAGCTGGTTGCTTGCAGATGGTTTTTATGAGCATATTCCCAATGAATAGAGTCAATGTATGTGTTTTGCTATTGAATCATCTCTGCTCAAGCTGTAACATTTGATGAGACATTTCTAATGCCAGGATGGTCTTCAACTCAAAGTGCTTGAAGTAACTTAAACCCAGTGAAATATGTTGCAATATCATGACAGCATGCAGAATGATGTGCTTACTGCTGGTGAAGGGAAATTTTTTTAACTTGTGACAGCACATATTCTATTCATTATTAGAGTCAGCTGGTCAAATACACCTGGCTCAAAAGAAGTTGTAACAGTTCTTGAGGTAACACATTAGCTGCCTTGATGTGAATGGGAATTATTGGTAGTCATCTTCAACTTCTATCTTCTTGTAGTCACCAAGCAGAACTGATGGATCTTCAGCAACGTTTCCAACAAGAGTTGAACGAGTTGAGAAATCGGCATAGGAGGGAGCTGTTGGAGATCCAACTGAACCGTCTGCGCAGAGGAAGGAGTGCAGGTTATGTGGAGCGTCGAACCCCGTCGCCTGGGCCACCCACCCCGGCACGGAGTCCCGTGGAGGACACTTACTACTACTCGGTGCCTTCCGCGAGCGGCAGCACGGCTTTGGGTTCCTCGAGTCACCGCTGCCTCACTCCGACATCGATGGGCGGCATCGGAGGGACGTATCCTCAGTACTACCAGCGCCTCTCACCCTACATGGTCCCAACGTCTTTGCCTTCTGCATACATGCCCTTGGGATTTGAAGGACTCGTGGACCATCCCGATCCCCCGTATCCCATGATGGGTCATCCACCCCCCCCGTACATGTACCCCATCCCGCCGTATCCGTACATGTACGGGGCAATCCCCACGAACAACCCTTACGTCGTCCAGCCTCAGCCGCACGTCGGCCAGCATCATCACCACCCGAGTTAGCAAGACCCTCTGGGACTTCGTTTTCAATCCTGTGTGATATTTTGCAGAGAATGATGTATTGTATGTGGGCACTTTCTGTTTTATTTGCATTTCTTTTTCCTCATTTTACTGTGACAGGGTATAAATGCCGATATCATGTTTTTGGGGGTCTTTGGAACCCAAGAGAGAAGTTTCAACTGCCTTTAGCAGCGTACAAGCGAGCGTGACTTATTGTCGATGGCTCGGCGTCGTGAGACACGAGCCGTACTTCTTATTGCTGTGTTACATACTTGATGCAGTGCATTATTTTCTCTAAAGGGGGAGTAGATCGTTTTTCTCTTCTTACCTGAGCCTGATCAGTGAAACAATTCTCTTTGCCACTTTTTTCCTGTCAGGCAATTTTCATTTCTTTGGCCCTACAAGCTGATGCTTTGTGCTTATTACTGCTGAGTCAGAGAATTGTCAGATAACTTGAGTCTCATTTGCAATCCTGTCAACCCAAGAGTGGCAAGCAAAGATTTGGAGAATTTCTGATGAAATGGATCCCAACGGAAGAGGCACGCCCCGAATCCGTTTTGCATCTGCGATAAAGACTTGTCGATACGCATCTCATCCAGTTCCCATTTGGAGTGCCTGTGCTCGCTTGGCTTTCTCTGCTCTTTTCCCTGCCCACATTTTTTGCCTATATGATGCTGTGATGTAGGGTTAGAAATGAGCGAGAGGGTACCACGGTGGGTGGTGCAGGCGGTCGGGAGAGGAAATTAAAAAAAATTTGGAGGAAACTATCCCCGATTGATGTCTCATGTATTGCTCAAGGATGAAGAAATGAGGATGCTTTTACTCGGATATCTTGCGAGCGGTCCCTCGTTTTGTCCTCTGTGATGTGCGATGATATGCGTCTGTTTTTCTCCTTTCTCCGTTCCGTTCTTTCCGTTCCTCGCGGATCCACCGGAACGTTCCGGTGGGACCGTTCCGTCTGGCTTTTCCCGAGGCTGGTCCGAATGCGAGGGAAATTCCAGGAAATCCCCGACGGATTGTGAAATTTTCCTGCCGAGAAAAGAAATATCCAGAAATGGGGAAAGTGAAGTTTTGTTTTCATCCACTCGAGTACCTGCCTTTCATTTCCGTCTGCTCCCTGTTGGGAGTTCCGTGAATTTGCCATCCAGGCTGGAATGCAATTCGTGACCCTGAAACAGCTGATGTTTTGCACGAGTTTTCTCCCAACAGCTGCTCTTATTTTCCCTCCTCACTCTGCAGCTTTTGTTTATACCCAAGACATGATGCCTTGCATATCTCGTATTAACATTTCACGTTCTCGTACATTTTTCCACCATGAGTAACGACCCACCAAACTTGGTTCTCGAGAAAGTAAGTTGTGTGTGGGACTAAAAGCCTGTTCCAGTTTTCCCCATGGAAGAAGCAGTAGGAGAAAACGTTTGACAGTGAGTCAAACTTGAGGGATTCATGTTTGAGGGGTAAACCCCGATTGATACGAGGCCAGTTTGAGAAAATAGAACGTCTTCACTAATTGATGGTTATTGTGTTAGTGGTAATTTATTTTAAATTTATAAATTAAGGAGTTAGTGGTGAAGTCGTTTCATCAGAATCGGCATGCCACGTTTTCACATATAATTCCCCCACCCCCCTCCAAAAAAAAAATTTATATTTTTTATATAGTTATATATATATATATTATATATTTCCATGAGACATACCTCAAGCATTATTGTCGAGTGAAAAAAAATGTCCAACTCAAGTAAAAAACACAAAAAATCGTTTCTGCAGCCTGCTTGTCAGAGCAGCAAGCCACCGTTGCACCGGTCACGTGACCGTCATGTGATTGGTGCGTGGTAATTTATCTTAATTTTGTGATATTTTTGTCATGGATGAGTTTTTTACTATCTCTAGTTGATCGTTGATCATGAATGTGATAATTAGTTTTAATTCGTAATTTAATGAGGTGGTGACGAAGAAAACTATGAATTCAAGTAAAAATCATCGCCATGCCGCATATTCCCCCCCCCCCCAAATAATTTAGCAATTTCGCTTTCGAGGGTGTGCTTCCCACGTGCGTCAATGACCGCGAGAGGTCCGTGTATTTTCACATGTCGAACTCTCCTCACGCTCGAGCATCTTCAACACGTAAGCAATACATTCGTTAGTCCTCATTTCGGGGCGCAGATCCAGACGGAAATCGAGGAAGCACGAAGGCATTGGGCCATAGGCGGTGGAGGCAGGCGGCGGCGGGTGGGGATGCTCAGCCGCAACCAGTGCCTTCTCTCCTTAGTGTAGTGCAGCTGCAGTACCAAGAGTCCTCGCTAGGTGGTGCCCGTGTTCCCTGCACCCTTCAAGTGCAATTAAGTCGATTCCGTCCTGATTTAGGATGTGTTTCCTCCCCTCTTTTCTCTTTTTATGATGCAATTTACGAAAAATATGAGGAAAGCGTGGAATTATGATGTTTTGATTGAAACGTATGACTCAGGGAATTATTAACTGCTGAATTTAGGTATGAGAATGCAGAAGTGTACGGGAATAGGAAAGTGTAGAGTGCTGTAGGTGTACCGAATAATAATCGTTGAGGCATGATAATACTCGCAGAGCTTTGTCTCTAACTGTTCTACGTCGAATGCGGTAAACAGTGGGTCATGCAGCGCGCAGCGTCGCAGTTGACTCATCTGAGCACGCTAGAGCTCCAAGCTGTAGCTGAGTCTGATGTTCGTGGGGGCAGTAAGGTCCTTTCCAGTGGTTCACCACCAAGGACCTACCGGGTAATGCGCTGGCCCAGTGTCGGCAAGTGGGACGTGCAGTAGTTGGCCCACAGTTGGCCCACAACCTCTGGTGCCTACAACCTCATGATGCTCCTCATTGGCTCTTGACCATGCTATGTGACTACCTGAATGATGTTACTCAGTATGTCTCAATAGGGAAAAAATCTTCTCTACCTAAGCCTTGTCGGACTGGTGTCATCCAAGGTGCTGTATTGTCACCAACACTCTTCACCCTAATTACAGATGATCTTTGTTCCAACAAAGATTCAAGAGGGAAGAAGATAACACTCTAATACCCCAGTGCTGGTCGCCTGCCATCCTTCCTCATTTGAATTTGTTCTGTGTTCTTTTTCCCTTGTCACACTGACGACCTGAACCCAAGGATGAAATAAACCTTTCAAAATAAACTCTGCTACTCGGGACCGCATTTCGGATTTCCGCAGTCCGCTCACGAGAGCCCGCAAGCTACGAAAGCGATCGGGCCGGTCACGTGACCGCGCCGACTCACGCGATTGGTGGAAACCCGCTTCGACGCGATTGGTGGAAATCCGCCGGGGCATCAGTCATCCGGTCAGTCTCGTCCCGGGCGAATCTGATGGTGGCAGCGGCCTGACAGGTTTCCCCTCGTTTCTCCCTTATCGGCGCGATGAGAAGATCGCAGCCGTCGCAGACGCCTATCTAGTTTTTTCCTTATCGCATGGAGGCGAGGCCGAGCAGCGGAGGAATGCGCGTGAAAAAGCCGAGAAGTGGGAGCCGGCACCCCCGAGAAACGAATTCCGTTCCGATTTTTCGAATTTCCGAGGATGATCCGCGTCAACCGACCCAGATCATCCCTAGATCATCCCCGGGATGATCAACCCCGCCCTTCACAAACCCTCAAAAAATCCCAAAACGCGAATGAAAGCGAAGAAAACCGACCGAGGCCCCCAGGCCCAACGCGAAACCCAACAATCAGGCCTAACGTTTAGGCCTAATTCGGCCTCCTCGCCCGCTCGCTCGGCCCGCGCGCTCTCATTCCCCTCGTTCGATTTCAGTTCGATTTAAAAGATATTTCCCAATTTTCTAATCAATCGAATTCAAATCAGAAACGATGCGTTTACGAATTTCGCTTCGCAATTTAATCAGTCAGTAAACCGAGTAAAGGTAAAAAGTGTAATCGTCAAAATATACATCAGCGCCATCTCTCTTTAGTGAATCGCAACTCGCGTCGTCTGCTACTGTGACGTCGCAACTATTTAACGATTTGCCTCAGCGCGAATGAGATACCGATGGAATTCGCTCAAGACATCTCGAGTACAGCAGTACTGCTAGCGTGTGCAGTATTGAAAAGTACTTTGAGGCTGGCTGAAAGAAACGAGGCTTTGGCGATAATCAGACTAGTACTGGAGAGTACTAAGAGTACTGCGGTAAGAAAATGTATTTTCGGTCAAGTACTGCGTCGACCCTAACGAGAGGGATATTTACGCACTCGCCGTGTGCATTTTTAGCCACGGATGTCACGTGACGCGAAAAATGCGGAGGGGAGGTCGTAATAGAGCCAAGACGGATGAGTCGATTTGGGCGGGTCCGAGCCGGTTCATTCGCTGATGGACCCGGCTCGCCTTGGCGCGCCGCCCGGTGCGGGAGGCGCGCAACACGCGGTGTGTCAGGCCGGGAATGGAAGTGGAAGTACTGGGGGAAGACGGAGAATACCGAAAAGTACTGTAGACCAGGCGCAATCGAGAAATTTTCTCAAAAATTTATAGAGTCGAGGTGGCAGGTGGCTCAGGGGGCTCTCCAGGTGCGAAGTACCGAAGTAGTACCGATTGGGTCCATAAGTACTTTCCTTGAGAAGGGGAAGAAGAGTGACGTTGGAGGTCGAAGGGCACGGAGACGAATTGCGTCGGAGTTCCCGCGGAGGACTCTCGTTCGGATTTTCGGTTCCCGCGGAGGGCTCTCATCTGCCTGGAAAAAAAATTTTCCGGGCCGTACGTCAGCGGCTTCGTGGAGGCCGGAGTGATGACTTTGCGGTTTCGTCCAAGTGCATTATCTATTTGCGCTTTTTTTTATATTTATTTTAGGAACAGGACGGTT